AGAGCGAGGCGACTGAGCTCGCGGCCAATCAACGCGGCGACAACCTGCCCGGTAGTGAAGCCGTACAGGTGACATCATGGGTGAGGGCAACTATCCGGCCGCTGAGAAGCGGGGCAGGGCAAAAGGGCGAAGTCAAGCGGCGGCCATCTTGGATGAGGGCACAGGCCTAGACTATCCCATACAGACCCATCGGCAGGGAGGCCAGTGAATTCAGAACAGCCCACGTGGTAGGGGGAACTCACCAGGGTCACGCTACGGGGCATAGGGATGCAGCCACCTCTGGGGAGGGGCAGGGGGTTTCACAGATTCCAAGGCCAAAAGGGACATTTGTGCCCATCTAGTCTGACCCCATGGCAGCGAGCGGCCCCACCCTAACCCCTAGCGCAGAACTGGTTTTAGAGAAGCAGCCAATCCTCATTTAAAACCCCACCATTGACCTCCCAGAGCCTAGCGCTGGACGGCTTTTTCCATTCCTCTCTTCGTTCTCACGGCTCTTCTCTGACTCCACCAGCTTGTCAACAGCCTTCTGGAATTGCGGGCAGCAGAACGGGACACCCGATTCCAGCCACGGCCATGCCAGGGCCCCCTCCGGAGGGAAAATAACCTCTCTGTTCACAACTCCGCTTTCTGCATCTCGGCATCCCGTGAGCGCTTTTGGCCAGTATCACACGGGCAGCACATGTGCAACTGATTATCCACCATGACCCCCACATCTTTTTCAGAGCCCCCTCGTCCCAGGACAGTCCCCCGTGGCATGGCTGTGTGCATTGAGATTTAGCTTAATTAAAACACTTTCTCTGGGGCCATCTTACCAAGCACTGTGGCTCCTGCTAAACCAGTGACCAGCCATATTCATTATTACCCACTCCCCTAATTTGGACACAGGGACCCACCTGCAGCTGCCCAAGGTGGGGCATGGGGGTTGTTTATGCAGGGATCCCTCGGGGGACACAGCCATGGGTGGGGCGAGGTGCAGGGTCTGAAGCACTGCGCACAGGCCATGAGGAAGCCTCCTGTACCCCACCCCCCATTGGGGGTAGTGCAGGATGCAGAATGGAACCCCGCACTCCTGCCCCAACCCCGCTGGAGCCTGCACTGACCACCCTTACCCAGTTCACAGGGGGAAAAGGGCCCCCTGAGACCCAGCCCCACACCAACCCCCTCCATCTTTGGGGCCCAGGCCAGAAGGATACTTGCCCAGCTGGGCCCTGTGCCCAGGTTTACTCCTCCCTGTTGCCTTTCCACTGAGGCGATGACAACCCCCTAATCTCTCCCCGTTGGGGGTCATTCCCTAGTCGCAAAGATCCCCCCCACACACACACAGCGAGGAGGCAGCTCTGAGAACAGCACTTTATTGCAGACACAGGGCAGACACTACTTCTTCTTGGACACACCGACGGTTCTGCCCCGGCGCCCGGTCGTCTTGGTGTGCTGGCCCCGCACGCGCAGCCTGGGGGAGAGAGGGGAGTGAGATGGGACCAGACCCTGGCCCGCCCTGCTGCTGCTCCCCGGTTCCAGACCTGCCCCCCAACTCTGAATCCACCCCCCAGCCAACTCCCTATGGCCCTGCACCCCCAGCTCTGCATCGTCCCATAATCCCACTACACCCACATGCAAAGGCTCTGCGCCCAGTTCCCCCTCCCCTTATCCAGCCCAATGACCCCTTTTATCTTCAGCCACCGTCCCCACTGCACAGCAAAGGATGAAGGGAACGCCCACCCCCATCTCCCAGGGAGTAGGCAAAAGGCCCCACCCCAGTTCATTAGGTCCCACCATTCACCCCTCCCACCCCCACAGCTCTCGCTCCGCTCGTACCCCCAGAAGTGGCGCAGGCCCCGATGCGCCCGGATTTTCTTTAGCCGCTCCAGGTCCTCACGCAGTTTGTTGTCCAGCCCATTGGCCAGAACCTGAGGAGGAGAGAGACATGGGGATGGGGAGGTCAGGCACAGCTGGACTGGCTCAGAGACACCCAGCCCAGTTTCCCTCTGCAATAGGGGCCAGCGCCAGCTGGGGCAGAGCCCCACAGGAGCAGCTGTGGGACAATCTACTCCAAGTCAGGGCTCGTCCTGATCTGGGATCGTCAGAGATCGGCTCAGGCCCTGCAGCGCGAGGTCTGAGATCCCTGCCCATTGTCAGCATGAACAGAAATGGCCAGTCCCTTTGTGAACCTGGCTCAGCGACATCCTGTGGCAGTGAGTTCCACAGGCTAAGTACAGGGCATGTATGAAAAAGTCTTTCCTTGTAGCAGGTTTGAACTTGTCCCCTTTCAATTCCATGGCGTCTCCCCTCATCCTCACAGCAGGAGTCAGGGAGGCCAGAAGCCCCCGATCCGCCCCTCTTGAGTGCCGAGGGCGTGCATGCTGGGACAGGATTCTTGTTAACTCTGCAGTGACAGCCAATGGGCTGGTGCCCCCCCAACGCACTGGGGTGACAAAGTCCCCTACTGCCTAGGGGACTCCAGAGCAGCCCCTGCAGTGGGGGGAGGAACAAGCCCAGCCCCACACTGCTCTGAACATCAGAGCCCCCCCAAACACACACCCAGCAATGGGCTCCGCACCCCGCTCTCACCTGGCTGTATTTGCCATCTTTGACGTCCTTCTGCCTGTTGAGGAACCAGTCGGGGATCTTGTACTGCCGGGGGTTCTGCATGATAGTGATGACACGCTCCACCTGTGGGGGGCACAGAGATGGGGTCAGGCAGGGTGCTCCCCTCACCCCAGAGAGACCTCCCTCCTTCAACCCAGACATCCCCTCTCCGAGACATTCCCACGCTCTTGACGCCAACCTCCACCTAGATACCACAAGAAACCCACCCCCACCAGACACCCCTCAGCTGGCTCCCAGATACACCCTAAGCCTCAGCCCCCTACCCAGGTCCCCAAGTGAGAGCCATACCACCTTCATCCCAGAGACCCCAGCTTCCCTTAGACCCCCCCACCCCATCTGAGACAAGTGCCACCCCCCATGGTCCCAGAGAGACCACCCCTGCCCTCCCCCCTTGCCCACCTCATCCTCAGTCAGCTCCCCAGCCCTCTTGGTCAGGTCAATGTCCGCTTTCCTCAGCACCACATGGGCGTAGCGCCGACCCACACCCTGGAAGGGGGAAGAAACATTAAGAAAGCCCCAGGGTGGGGACTCAGTACCCCCCACAGCATAAAGTTCCCGGGAAGCTCAGTCTCTGATGCTGAGAGCAAGACCCCCCCACACACACCAGGACAGAAGAACCTGCTTCAAGAGACACCCATGGTACAGTCCAGCTTTAACCCCGCCCCCATACATGTCTCCATATACACCCCCACCCCTGCCCATGTAAGACAGACAGACCGTGGGATCGAACCCGGGGCCTATACTGCATGAGCTAAACGCCACTGGGCTGTTAGCGACGGCTGTAGAGCAGACTCGTTAATCTCTCTCTCTCTGAGTGGTCTTGGTGCCACTAGATGGGACAGACACCACACCCCGGAGGTGTGTGGGTTACACCCGCACCCTGCTCAGTGAGACCTTGTGACAGGGAGTTCCCCTGGCTAACTGCAGGCGTGAGAACCTTTGGGAGCCTGACCCCCTTCTCCATCCCAGCTGTGCAGCACCTCTCCTTCCGCGGGCCTGCCCGCTCCACCACACAGGGTCAGCCCTGACCCCTAAGTCTTAGATGGGGCACCCACAGCAGAACCCCATCTCCCCAGGGAGGGCGCCCCATGGATGCACACAGAGGCACTGGGATGTTTTCGATGTTCTCTCTCTGGTACAGCAATCCCAGGGCTGACGGCAGGGACACCCAGCCATGCCCCATGGGGGTGGAGGGGGGGAGATACACCCCACAGCCCCCTCACCTTGATGGCGGTGATGGCGAAGGCGATTTTCCGTCGCCCATCTATGTTGGTGTTGAGCACTCGCAGGATGTGCTGGAATTTCTCAGGGATCACAAGAGACTGCGGAGAAAAGGAACGGGGTGTGTGTGTGTGTCAGCACAGGAGAACTGTCCCCACTCAATGCCCCCCCACTATGGACACACTCCCCACAAGGCAGGGGTCAGCCCCAACCCTCTCCTCCAGGATGCAGCACCCCCCAGACCTGGTTGCTATATATAGCGGCCAGCCCCCCGCCCCCCCACATACTAGCCTTGTCTCCAGTGCAAGTCCCCTGGAGCCCCCAACTCCCCCCCCAGCAGCCAGCCTTCCCACCCCCCCAACAACCCCCTCCTACCCCCCAGCAGCCAGCATGTCCCAGCCTCTTCCCCCCCACCACCCCGGGCCAGTCCCCCTGGAGCCCCCTACTCCTCTCCCCACAAAGCCCCGCTTCTACCCTTCCCAGGGAGCGCTGGCGGGCCCCGCTGCCCCCTGCTGGGGGCTGATGGACCCCGATCCCCCCCACCCAGGTCTGATCGCAGCTGCTCCCCCCAGACCCCTTCCTGCCCTCTATCGGCCCCCCAGGGAGCCCCCAGCGGGAAATGGGGGGCGCCCCGTAAAGCCCCGGCTCCGCCCCCTCGGACAAGCCCCCGCCGGCCCCGCTGCCCCCCTCCCCGGGGCGGATGAACCCAGATTCCCCCCCGCTCTCACCATGGCGGCTACTCCGCGCTCTAGTCTCACCCCGTCCGGAAGAGAGAGAGGAAGTGACGCGCTGCCTCTTATAGACACTCCCCCTACAGGCAGATAAACGTCCGGTCAGGGCAGTTCACCTTCCGGCAGAGCAGACAGACTTCCGGTTCTCCCCGTAGTCTTTCCGGTCATCCTCCCGCAGAGTTCCACTAGGGACACCGCTACCGGGTTGGGCAACAATATGTGCGGTCCGGGTATGAAACCTGCCCCATGACAGAAGGTTCCTATGGGATTAAATCCCCCCTATTGGATAGGAACTGACCCCCTTCGACTCCGGGGGGCATTTTCATGCCAGTCACCCCCTCACGTTCCCTAAAGGGGGCCTTTGTTACCCCATTTCCGGTAGACTCCCGCCCACCCGGTGCATCATGGGAGTTGTAGTTTTTTAAAGGCGCACGGCCGGAAGTGAGCCTTGGAGGCCCGGATGCGGCGGGAGCGAAAGAAGGAGCGGGGCGGGGATGATGGCGGCGTTGAGGCCCGATGAGGAGCTAGGACTGCGGGCGACTGAGATGGAAGAAGAGGACGGCATGGTGAGGTTCCCCCAGCCCTACTTCCGGTCCCCAGGCACCCCACTTCCGGTCCCGTTCAAAATAGGCCCGTAGTGGGGAACCGCCCCCTGCTGTCCAAATTGGCCCCCACTTGTCATCTACCCCCTCCCCCCCCCAGCGTGCTGAGGGGCGGTTCTGGGTCTGGGAAGGGTTTGCATGTGACCCCGTTAAGTGTTGTGTGACATGTGGGAGCCTGAAGGTTCTGCGACCTTTGATCCTGACCCCAGTGACCCCAGGCCCTTGCTTGCATTACCCTGACCCCAACATGACCCCATCCCACTCTGTCGCCCCCATGCCTGTTCATGTGACCCCTGATCCTTGTAACCTCTGACCCCACCCTGAACCTCCTGACCTCTGCCCCTCCCCCGCTCTGTTCCCTCTCTCTGCGCTCCCCCCCCCCGCCCTCGACTCCGCTGCCAAGGGCCCCACGTTGCCCCTCCCGTCCGGACTCGATGGCGTCTGTCCTGTGTCTCAGCCGGCGCATGGGGTTGCTGGCCTGGCGCGTGGGGCTGCAGCACCTGGTGGCCAGGCCTCCGTCATGCAACGTCCTGAACTTCCTAAACACCGTGTGACATTAGCGACCCTCGCTGCGCGCTGACCAGTGTCCCTCTCATTTTCCCCACCCATGTGCGGAATTAATTTTGTTATGTGCCCCAATATGGAGGTGACATATGACACATCACCTTCATATTGGCGCACATAACAAAATTCATGTGGTGGGGGTGGGGTCGAGGGGTTTGGAGAGTGGGAGGGTCTCAGGGCTGGGGCAGAGGGTTAGGGTGTGGGGGGTGAGGGCTCTGGCTGGGGCTGTGGTGTGGGGCTGGGGATGAGGGTTTTGGGGTGCAGGCTGCCCCAGGGCTACGGTGGGGAGAGAGGACTCCCCCCAGCTCTCTCCACACAGCAGCACCTGGGCTGATCGGGGAGAGGCACCTCTCCCCGCCATGGCAGCTCTGGGGTTGGGGCCGCAAGATAAGTGCCCCGGCCCCAGCAGGTCTGAGCCGGGGCTGGGTTCGGGCTGGGGGAGGGGTGCCGCAGCAGGTCCGGGTCGCAGCAGAGTTGGGGCTGGGGGAGGGATGCCCCAGCCACGGTAGGTCCCCAGGTGGGTTCCCTGAGCACCTGCGCCGCGCTAAATAGGCTGCTGTGTGGCTGCGCAGCTTACAGGGAACTTAGGCACTGCCCCTCGCGGGTGCTATTTATCCTCTGTCTCCATGTGTTAGCCATGATCTTTCACCCCCTGCGGTGCCCTGACCCCCCCATAACCTCAGATTCTCCTATCCCCATCCATCCACCCTTGCTACATATCCCCTGAATCCATCCTCAGCTGTCATCTTTGACCCCACACTGCCCCCCATGACCCTGGGACCTCCTGTTTCATGGGTGATAGAACCCCACTGGCCCCTTTTTGTGCCCCACGCCCCATAGCTTCCAACTCCTATTCCATGTCCCCGTAGTCTTTGATCTCTGCAGTGAGCCCTACGTTCTGTGCTCCCTCCTTGACCCCCACTTGTCCCTCTGTTCCTAGCCCACCCCCTGTAACCCTGAGCTCTATTCCCTGAACCTCTATAGCACTTATACCCCTCAGCCTCTGCCCTGCCTAGCCTGGTCACTGGGTGTACCTCCAAGACCCCTTCCCCAGAGCCTGCTGGAGCTCACTGCTCCCTCACAGCCCCCCGTAACAGCCTGACCTGCACTCCCTAGGGCCGTGGAGAGGAGCAGTCGCTGCAGCTGAACTTGGGGGACCTGGACCTCACCTCAGATGAGTTCATCCTGGATGAAGTGGACAGTAAGTGTGTGGGGGGGGGGGGGGCTTACCCCCTGAACAGCAACCAGTGGGGGGCAGACAGTGATCTGGGAAAGTGGGGGGAAGGCCATGAGGTGGGGGAGGCCAGGAGTAGTTTGGGTGGATGTAGGCAGGTGGGGGAGCACTGTGGGGTGGGGGTACTGTGGGGAGGTGGGTTTGGGGGACCACTGTTATGGGAACTGACCCGGTCTCCCCTCCCCCAGTTCACATCCAAGCCAATCTGGAGGACTCCCTGGTTCAGGAGGCGCTGAAGACAGTAAGTTGCCCCCCTCCTCCCTCTCCTGGGGCTGGGGCCCAGCTGAGCCCCCCCCCGCCCAGGTGACTCTCCCCTCTCTCCCCAGGGCGTGGATCTGCGGCAGTACTCCAAGCAGGTGGAACTGGAGCTGCAGCACATTGAGCACGCCTCCATCAGGGACTGTATCCTGCCCCGCGGAGTCCCCCAAGAGCCCACACAGTGTGGGTGGGGGGAGGGGGCAGATGGGGGAGGTCTCAGTGTCAGGGGGAGGTCCTTGCACCCTGGCTGTACTGCTTCATACCCTGGGGTGTCTCCCTCCACACTGGCAGAGGGAGTGTCAAGGGGCAAACCCCTCCCCAGGAGAAAGAGTAAAGTGGCCCCTCCCAGGGCCTCTCCCAAGCATTCCCCCCACTGCCTGGCTGGCTGGGCCCCCCATGCCCATTTCCTTAGCAGCCTGCCTGCCCTGCAGACATCAAGGAGAGCAAGAACATCACCTCCCTGCACAACCAGATCACCGCCTGTGACGCCATCCTGGAGGTGAGCCTCTGAACCGCGTGGGGCCCCCACCCCTCCAGCCCCCCACCCTTAGGTCACTGCCTGGGTTACCATCCTGGAGGTGAGACCTGGAACCCCATGGGGCCCCCCACAACCTCCTGATGCCCCCAAACTCTCCCCACTCCCCAGAGCACTGTCTGCAGTCTATGTCTCTGACTGGTCCCCCTCCCCCCCCCAGCGCATGGAGCAGATGCTGAGCTCCTTCCAGTGTGACCTAAGCAGCATCAGCTGCGAGATCCAGACGCTACAGGAGCAGTCGGTGGCCATGAACCTGCGGCTCAAGAACCGCCAGGCCGTGCGTAGCCAGCTCAGCCAGCTGGTGGACGAGCTTGTGGTGCCAGCTGCCATGATCAGGTGGGGGGACAGGCTGGGGGCTGGCTGCCATGGTCAGGTGGGGGGCTGGGCTGGGGGCCGGCTGCCATGATCAGGTGGGCGGCTGGGGGTTGGCTGCCAGGCAGGGGGATGGGAGGTGTGAGGAGGGCACCGTGGGGGGACAGGCTGGGGGTTGGCTGCCATGGTCAGGTGGGGGGCTGGGCTGGGGACCGGCTGCCATGATCAGGTGGGGGCCTGGGCTGGGGGCCGGCTGCCATGGTCAGGTTGGGGGACAGGCTGGGAGCTGGCCGCCATGGTCAGGTGGGGGGACTGGGCTGAGCTGAGGGCCTGCTGCCAGGCAGGGGGATGGGAGGTGTGAGGAGGGCACCATGGGGGGACAGGCTGGGGGCTGGCCGCCATGGTCAGGTGGGGGGCTGGGCTGGCTGCCAGGCAGGGGGATGGGAGGTGTGGGGAGGGCACCGTGTGGGGACAGGCTGCAGGGAGATGGGGGAAGGCGCTGGTGGGTAGGGGGGTTTGGGGTGCTGGCCACCACCTCTGAGCCAGATGCGCAGGCTGTGAGGTGTGACCCTGGGATGCCTTTGTCCCTGCCCCCCCCCAGCACCATTCTGGAGGCCCCGGTGACCGAGCAGGACTTCCTGGAGCAGCTGCATGAGCTGAACAACAAGATGAACTATGTGAAGGAGCAGGCCTTCCGCGAGACCATGGCCTGCACCGACGTGCACCACGTGCTGGACCGGCTGAAGGTCAAGGTGAGCCCCGCCCAGGGAGTCCAGGCTCGGCCCCTCCCCCAGAGCCGGGCCAGCTGGGCTCTGTCTCCCCCAGACCCCAGCGGTCAGGGGTCACTGGTCAGGCTGCGTCAGCCCCTCCTGGGGGATCTCTGTGCACATGGGGTGGCCCTGCTGGTCACAGGGGTGTTGCGGGATGGAGGTGCGGGAGGTGTGGAGCTGAGGTGGTGGGGAGGCACTGGGGGGAAGGGGAGGGTCTCCGCGTGGGCTCAGCCTGCCCTGTGGTCCGTGATCCGCTCCCCCTCGACCCTCTGCAGGCTGTGACCAAGATCCGGGAGTTCGTCCTACAGAAAATCTACTCGTTCCGCAAACCCATGACCAACTACCAGATCCCCCAGAATGCCCTGCTCAAGTACAGGTCAGCCATGGGGTGGGGGTAAACGAGAATCTCCCAGAATGCCCTGCTCCAGTACAGGTCAGCCATGGGGTGGGGGGTAAACGATAATCTCCCAGAATGCCCTGCTCCAGTACAGGTCAGCCATGGTGGGGAGGTTAATGGGGATTCCCCAGAATGCACTGCTCCAGTACAGGCCAGCCATGGGGTGGGGTGGGGGGGTCAATCAATGAGAATCTCCCAGAATGCCCTGCTCCAATACATGTCAGCCATGGGGTGGGGGGTAAACGAGAATCTCCCAGAATGCCCTGCTCCAGTACAGGCCAGCCATGGGGGGTAGGTTAATGGGGATTCCCCAGAATGCCCTGCTCCAGTACAGGTCAGCCATGGGGTGGGGGGTAAACGAGAATCTCCCAGAATGCACTGCTCCACTACAAGTTAGCCAGTGGGCAGCAGGGGCTATGGAGCTCTCCCAGAACGCCCTGCTCCAGTGGCGGGCAGTTCCCCAGACTGACGCGCCTTGGCAGGTTCTTCTACCAGTTCCTGCTCGGGAACGAGCGGTCGGTGGCACAGGAGCTGCGGGAGCAGTACGTGGAGACCATGAGCAAGATCTACCTGTCCTACTTCAAATCCTACACCAGCCGCCTCATGAAGATCCAGGTGAGGGGAGCCCGGGGAGCGTGGGGCAGCCCTCAGGGTGGTGGTGTAGGGAGCCTCATGGGGCGGGCGTGTGGGGGTGGGGATTCCCAGACAGTGTGCTCTGGTTCCCCCCCATGTGAATGACAGGGTCGGGATGGGGAACCCCACGCTACCCCCCCCCCCGTCTGTCCTGCAGTACTGGGAGGAGGGGCTGGGAACCCCACACTGACCCCCGTCTGTCCGTCAGTGTTGAGGAGAGGGGCTGGGGACCCCACACTGACCCCCCCATCTGTCTGTCTGTCCTGCAGTGCTGGGAGGAGGGGCTGGGAACCCCACACTGAC